GCAAAGATTGATCGCAAAAAGCGTACAGAAGATTCATGGTTTAAATTTAAAAACGACCCAGTAAGCAACGATGAAGCAAAAATAATCACAATAACAACCGTAATCATTGATATATATCTGTGTTTGCATATCAATAGGTTTATTTTAGAAATCTTCGTTTTTTTGCATTTCACGTAAACACATTCTTAATTATTAGGATTAGACAGCTAATAATTTTCTACTGAAGACGCTTAAAAATAGAAAAAAGTTCTTTTTTGACATCTATAATCTGAACAACCACAGTTTTTTGTTTTCCTCTTGTTTGTTGCTGTTTTTTGGAAAACAATCATTATTGTTTATTTTCTTTGACACTTATATGTATACTTGTAAGTGCACTTGTAATGTTAACAAACGACTTTAGTTGCTGAGTAAAGCTCTAAAGTTTTATAATTAAACTAAGCATTGTCTGCAAGACATTTTAATCCCTTTTTTTTGGCAACTACTTTTTCAGTATCTTTACAGTAAGTGTAAGAAATTTTGACCGCTGAAATAAACACATATAATATCATCAAAGATCTTCAGACTATCAGCGATTCGACAATCAAATTATTCATCAATTTATTCAAAAATTTTTAACAAAAATACAATCTCTACTATTTTTATTGTTTAGAATATAATAAGATTTTGCAAAGTATTACTAGTAAAATCGGCATTTCTGAGCGAAAATACCAGTATCACTTTAAACTGCATCAAACTGCTGGTATCACATTTTTCAACAACAACAAAACCACTTTTTATTTTTTACTACCTGGCAAAGTGGTCTCGTGTGCTCTTAAATTCAATTATTGTTTCACGTTTGAAAGTTTAAGATTAAAAACAAATGCAAAATACTTTTGTCATTTCTTCTCCCTTCCTAATGCCTCGAACTAATTATTTGTAGATATCTACAAACTTTGGATGTTCTTTTCTTCATGAATTAGCTCTATTAACGTATCAAAAACAATAACTTTTTTTGGCAGAAGGAATTCTAATTGATAACTAAGATTATTAACAACAGTAAAGTTAAAACACAAAATTGACAGTTCTGTCATGAGTAAAAAACCACAGAACTGGGGCATAGCCGCCATGGTTAGCCTCAACGGCATCAAAAGTTTCAGTTTCCCAACAATTTCAGACAAGCACCAAAGATAGTTGAACTGGCAGTTTTTTGAAATCCTCTTTTTTACCATTATGATGCATTCACAATTCCCTTTACTTGTCCTCCAGTTCCTTCTTGAATGTCATTTTCTTCCACTTCTTTGAAAAATATAAGTGCTATAAAAAATAGCTAAAGAGCGAAAAATGTGCTTTTAAATTCATAAACACGTTCCAAAAAAAGAAGACGTTCTTAAATTTTTTGTAAGTTTTATAATGTTCTACTTTCTTTCTTTTGGAATATATTATAAAATTAGCTAATTTAAAGCACTTTTTTGCTGTGACTTTAATTAATAATAAACCGGTGAGTTAGAAATTAGAAAAGAAGCTTCAGAAAAGTAGAAGTTATTTTGTGCAAAAAAAATAACAAGAATAAAAAATTTGTTATTTATTTTTTCATGCAATAAAGGAATTTTCTTTAATCTTTTTTTCAGAATTTTGATAGAAAACTATATTGGTAGTCTTCTTTGGGTGTTAGCAACAAAACGTTTGAAATGTAGTTGAAACATATCTCACTGCTTCACCTTCGACTAAATATTTCAATGAAAAAAATTATCCCTGCCAGTTAACGACAACTGAATAAATAGGAGCTACAATTTGCTGTCTGCTGCTAAGTAACAAAGCACATTAATTCATCGGTGATCTATATGAACAAAGACCATTGAAATATGTAGAGAATCCTGAAAACAAATTGGTGATATCCAAGAAACAAAAAAGCAAAAAGATTATCAAGTAAGAAAAAAGATAAAAAATAATAATGCCTATCGTACAAGAAATGAAGAAAATGTTGAGTTAGTTTAGAATAAATTACTCAATTTTACAATGCCCCATACCGAACTAGACGCTGGTTAAGATTAAAGTTGAAAGTTGCTAATCACATTGTTTTTATTTCCAAAAAAGAGTCAAAAAATTCGAACCGATAGCGTCCATTTCAGATGAGAAAAAGTCAAAGTGAA